GTCTTTGAGTAATCTAATTTTCATATTTTTTTCACAAATTCTTATGAGCGCAAGAAATCACTGAAATTTGAGTGTTTTTTTCGTTGACCCACACATTACCGAGTGGCAAAAGTAAAAAATGTGTTGAGCTCGCGAGGCGATTATTTCTCGTTCTGAATGATTTATTTATTTATTTAATATTTTTCATGAAAATAAAACAATCTAATCTATTAAATATCAAATCTTTAAATTTTCTGCTAGTTTCTCCGAGCACAAAAAGTCATAAAAATTGCGTCTTGCGAATTGTGCAATTGGATCTGCCGGTACCTTCCGCCTTTGACAGTCTGCGCGTGAGACTCTCAACAACGCCTCCCCTTCTTAATTTTTTGAATCCATTTGCACCTCACGACCGGTTCTTCTTTTTTTAAAAACGGCTGGTTCTATAATAGTTAGTTGTAGGTCATCTGTAATATTGCCAAAGACTGGTCCCACACAAACGTTTGCTTTCTAAGAACCAACTTGTGTCGTGTTCGCCCGCTGCCGAAAATGTGACACCTTTAGATATACATTAGAGCCCACTATACCTTAACCTTAATGATGCAATTTTTTTTATTGTCTACCTCATGGGCACGGGGAACGCAACCCTAAGGTAGCAAAAGCAACTGGGCAAAGTGCACGAGAGAGAGAGAGAGAGAGAGAGAGAGAGAGAGAGAGAGAGAGAGAGAGAGAGAGAGAGAAAGAGAGAAAGAGAGAGATGGAGGGGGGGGCGGATTACCAGAGAGAGAGAGAGGTTGAATGATAAAAATAGAATATGGGTCGAATTGCGGTCGCGATCTATTTTGTTGATGAAATAATTTTGTTTGATTTATTTAATATTTTTATTTGAACTATCATAACAAAATTTATAAGCACTCAAATTTTTATATTTTTTCACAAATTCTTCTGAGCGTGACAAATCATTTAAGTTGGAGTACTTTTTCCATTGACCCACATATAGCTGAATGGCAAAAATAAAAAATGTGTTGAATCGACGCAAAAATTAGTTTGTGGTCTTCGTATTTTTTTTTTAATTTTGTATTTTTTTGGGGAAAGACCACGATCTGATCTATGAATTTTTCGAAGTTTTATATTTTTTTATGAGTTCCTCTGAGCACAAAAAAACGTTGAAGTTGTTTATTGCATCAGACGCTTGTTTCGTTTCGCCTTCCTACATCCTCCCAGCAATAATGTCTCTGTTTTGAGAAGAAGGGTCTCAATGGTTAGGCCCGAGGGCCCTTTTGATCGGTCCTTCAATTTCGCTACCGCCGATTCTAATGTTTGTAGGTAGTCCGTAGGTGGACTGATCCCCCGATAACTTTCACTCGTTAAAACCTATTTATGTATCGGTTTCTCGTGCCCCCTTAATACTGATGCAGAAACTTACTATACCGCAACCTTAGAGTTGTGAACTCTTTTGAATAGCCCTGTGGGCGACCATTACCCCCATCGCCTACCGTGTGAACGTGGGGAACGGGGTCACCAACCCGTACGTACGGAGGTCCCCGGGCAGACCTCCGTACGTACGGGCGTTCGAGGTCCCACACGGGGTCCGAACCTGACGGCGTCTGGCCCCCGCCAAAACTTATTTCAGGGCCTAAAAATAACTATTTTTTTCTGAATTTTTTTTTGTGAGTTCTCTATGACGTGAGGTACATGCATGTAAAGTTTCAAGTCATTTGGCTAAGCCAAATAAGAATTAAAAATGGCCAAAGATGGCGGTGTCAAAACGTGCTCGCCCACGTATTTTTTCACTTTTTATTTTTTGTTTTCACTTTAGTTCGAGGTCTAAACAATTTTATTATTTTTTGAAACTTTTATAGTGGGTTTTGTATTATGTGAAGTACACATCTGTAAATTTTCAGGGCATTTAGATATGCCAAAAAAAAATGAAAAAATGCCAAAAATGGCGGTGTCGAAAACATGCTCGCGCACCCAATAAATATAATTCTCTTTTTATTTTTATTTATTTTTATTATTAGTATTTTTTTTTCTATATTTTATTTTTATTTCCAATTTGGTAAGGAATTCGGATGTAATGCTCAGGCAAATCTTATTTAATTTATTTTTTTCCATAACATTTTTTTTTTTTAATTTTTTGGTAACTTTTGTTGTTGTTGTTGTTGTTGTTTTTTGGGTCCGCGTTCGGCCCGAACGACCAAGCGCATCCCCAAGGGGTCCCATATGTTCGGGCGTTCGGGTTAGGGTTACCCTGTATATATATAGAGAGAGAGAGTGGACGCTCGTTTTTTCTTTGTGGTATTAGGGTCGCAAAATGAGGGTGTGTGAGGTTTAGAAGGAGTGACATTCTCACTCACTGAAACTTATGTTCAACTACACTGACCCCGGGTTTGGCTTGCCGGACCTGGGAACCACCGTTGGTGATTGTTATATCAAAGTGGGTTGGTCCCCTCTAGGGTATTGTTTTCCTCGTAAGTGAAACTAGGTACTGCTCGCAACCGTTCCATTTCCTGATATACTGTGAGGACTTCGACTTTATCCTTTGATCATAAATATATAATATGTTTGGGGAATTAAAATAAAAATACAAAGAGAGAGAGAGAGAGAGAGAGAGAGAGAGAGAGAGAGAGAGAGAGAGAGAGAGAGAGAGAGAGAGAGAGAGAGAGAGAAAAAATAAAAGGTTGAATGGCAAAAATAAAAAAAAGAAAAAATTGCCGCCGCTATGTATTTCGAAGTTAAAATGATTTAAAAAAATATATTTAATATTTTTAATCAAAATATTAGAATAAAATCTGCAAGGACTCAAATTTTCAGATTTTTTTCACACATTATTTTGAGCTTGAAACATCATTGAAGTTGGAGTATTTTTAACGTAGGGCCCACATATGGTTGAGTGGCAAAAAATGAAAATGCACCAAATTATCGTTACTGTTTTTAACTTTTTCGATATTTTCCCTGGAAATATCAATGACCTCATCTACAATTTTTCAAATTTTCCGATTTTTTCACAAATGCTTTTGAGCACAAAAATCGTCAAATTGGTATCTTGTGAATTGTGGGACTGAACCCGCCGGTGCCCCTATTCGCAGCCCTAAGGCTGCGCGGTATAGTGGGCTTCCGCGTCTGTGTCAAGGTGTCGCATTTTCGGCGGCGGGCGACTAGGACGCAAAGTGGGTTTTTAGGGGCAAAAACAATTGGGGGACCAGTCCTCAGCGAAATTGCGGATTACCTACAACTAGCTCTAGTAGAACCGAGATTTTTGAAAAAAGGAAGGACTGGTCGTCGGACCCCAAAAATAAGTGAGAAAGGGACGTGTTGTATAGAGTCGCACGTGCAGGTTGTCCGAGGCGGGGGTACAGGCGAGGGCAGTCCCACAATTTGCAATAGGCAACTTTGACAATTTTTTTGTTCTCGGAGGAATTCGCAAAAAAATATAAAAATTTGAGAATCCATAGAGTAGGTCGTGACCTTTCCAAAAAAAAATGAAAAAAAAAATCCAAAAATTCATTATGGCCGAAAAATAATCACCACGCCAATTCGGCATAAAAATTTGGCTGCATGGTAAGACCGCGAAATAATCGCCACACAAATTTGACACATTTTTATGACCAACGAAAAACGTGCTCCAACTTCAGTGATTTTTCGCGTTCAGAAGAATGGGTGAAAAAATCTGAAAATTGGAGTGCTTGTAGATGTTGTTGCAATCTTTATAGGAAAATATTAAATAAATTAAAAAAATTATTTTAACCGCGAAATAGATCATCGTCAAATTGCAACCGTGATCTGTTTTGCAGTTGAACCCTCTCTCTCTCTCTTTTTTTCTCTCTCTGTCTGGTAGCCCTCCCCCCTCCCTCTCTCTCTCTCTCTTTCTTTCTCTCTCTCACTCTCTGTTTCTCTCTCACACTCTTAACAATAAATAAAACAAAACTCTCTCTCTCTCTCTCTCTCTCTCTCTGTCTCTCTGTCTCTCTCTCTCTCTCTCTCTCTCTCTCTCTCGCCCTCTCTCTCTCTCTCTTCTGCGCGCTCTTAGTCTCATCGCTTTGGCTACCTTAGGGTTGCGTTCCCCGTGCCCACACGGTAGACAATTGTGTAGGGTCCTAGTGGAAAGCAACGTTCACGTGCGCGTACACACCTCTGCAACAACGCCTGGGCCTGAGGGCATTGGCAAACGGGTTTTTTCTTTTGCCCCTTCTGCAGTTCACATGCCAGGGAGGAACGGTCCTCCAATAAGGTAGTCCGTAGGAACGCGGTGGACCGGTCCCCCAACAACTTGCACCCCCTTAGAACCCACCTGTGCGCCGGCCCCCCGCAGCTGAAAATGAGTCACCCTGACACGGACACCGGAGCCTACTATACCGCAACCTCGAAATGAGACGCTGGAATTCGCACTGCTACGACCTGGGCGGCCAGAGGGCGAGGCGGAGGGGCAACGGTGTGGTGATTGATGCATTCGGGGAAACTGGGGTGGAGACGGTGAGGGTGAAGAGAGATTGGACACGCAAGATTAGATGGCAGAGAAGAATAGGCTGTGGACAATCGCCGTCAGTACGTCCGTTTTTGCTTCTCGACTGCTCATGCATCTACGAATTTGTGAAGATGACCGTGGTGTGATTACGAAGAGGGTCCCTTGCCGTGCCTGGAGATCATAGGATAGGAGACAGAGTGGCCGTTATTACTTGTGTATCGACTTCGTCATTGTCGGCAGCTCAGTCGTGTCACCAACTTTGGCACGGACAATCTTCGGAGCTAGACCCTTCGAGGAAGGAGATCCTTTTCAGTGCGATGGCTTATCGGGGCAGCGGGAGGGATAGACTGCGGTGGAATGTAGCCGACGTAGGGAGGATAAGGAGGAGGCGGTGTAGAGAGGAGGCGAAATCTGCGCAAGCAGCTCGGGCATATTCAAGTCGAAACTGTCCGGGGGGATGGTGACAGACGTATCTGTGTGTATTGGTGCGCTTGGGGGAGCGCGGCGCAGGCCGGCTGCGCCAGCTCGGAGGACGACCGCACTTTGCGCTAAGCTGCGGGGCTGAGGTGATGCTGGTGTCTGCTCAGGGCCCTGGCAAAATCGCCGAGGATCCGTGGAGGGGGCGCGCGTTGGATAAGGCAGAAAAGAATAGTGCAATTGCATTGTAGGAACATATAATGTGTAGAATGCGTTTTTGAGGACCGAGGAGTGGTTGAAGCAAGCATGGTGGAGGCGGAGGAGAAAGCGGAGAGCAGAGACGGACGTTGAACGGGATGGAGAGGAATCGATCTACCTCCTGATGCGGGATTATGCCTAGTAGTTACCGCTTGGTTAATTTTGATGATGTAACGCATTTGGAGACTGTTGCTTGTCAGAGGATGCTTGTTACTAAGGAGGTGGTATGCAACGGCTGGCATGGGAAGTGGGCTGCTGAGCATCGAGCTGTTACGTAGGGATGGAAATCTGATGTTGCCAACGGAAATGCCGTTGCGGAAAGACACTGGTTTCCCTTGCGAGCACGTGTAACCCCTTGCATGGCACAGTTCTGGGAGACGGTGTGTGTGGGATAACCTAACCGCACGCATCGCCGTGGAAGAGGCCATACCGCAGATAGACATTCGCTCATACAAACGAGAGAGAGAGAGAGAGAGAGAGAGAGGGAGAGAGAGAGAGAGAGAGAGAGAGAGAGAGAGAGAGAGAGAGAGAGAAAGCTGCACTGTGCAGGTCATCGAAAACGTGTCCAAGACTCGAGGCGGGTATTCCATGGTGTGACCTCGTCAAAGAGGGAAGAAGCAGGGGTAAGAGAGAGGGGGAGCGGGGAGGGAGAGAGGGAGGTAGGGAGGGCGGGTGAGGGAAAAGTGGGGAGAGGTAGGTTGAGAGGTTTAGGGTTTAGAATGAGACAGAGGTGAGGGCGACCGGTCGGAGAGGGGGAAGCAAGGGCATGAGGCACTGGCGATTCTTGAGGCGGTGGAGCGAAGCGACGGAGGCATGTGCTGCAGATGGTCTCCTTGAGAGAGGGAAGGGAGACCGGTAGGGGAACGAAAACTGGCTGTCTCGTCGGATACCGAAGTCGAAGTTTTTTTTTGTTCCCGGCTTTCGGTTCTCAGCAGGGGTAAAGATGGTGGCGGGTTCAGGAACGACGTGTGCTGGGATGATCGTGAATCTCAGCGATCGGTCCACGTGGGCTATGAGGTTTAGGCAGGAGAGGAAGGATTTAATTGCAGCAGCATCGACGGCAGCGGGAGAGGATGCGGTGCCAGCGGCCAAGAAAGAGAGTGATGACTCGGCCGGCGCCCACGACGTAAAGAACGGCGACGCGAAGGCAGACGGCAAAGTAAGGGAGGGTAGGATTACTGATGAGAAAGGTGGTGTCGGGGATGAAGTTAAAGCCGAGGCAGTTAGTGAAACGAAAGCAAGTATCAGAGGAAAGGATGGAGGACGAGGAGGAGGGGAGGGGCACGGAGAAGAGGGCGGCCGGAAGGCACGAGGGAAACAGGGAGGAAGAGAAGTGGGTGGCGGGGGCGGCGGCGATGGAGGTCGCCATGGTGATGAAGAGGGTGTGCGGGCCACTTCAAACGGGACCGACACTGGTGGCAGTCGGGGTCGGGTCATCAAATTATCTAAAGCGAGGGCAGCTGATGCAGCCGAAGATCCGCTCAAGTCTATGTGCGTAAGCGTTATTCTTTTGACGTTTTTAAAGAAAACAATCTCTTATAGAAATTGAAGGAGCCGTCCCATGATATTACTGTATTGCATCCAACCACACATTCCCAAATCATTCGTCAACGTGCATGTGTGCGGTGTAAGAGAGTTGCAATGGGGTAAGCCTTTTCCTTATCAGCTGGCCTATTCTCTCTCTCTTTCCGTACCCTCCGCTCCCTGCTCGCCCAAGGTAGCATACTTGCACACTCCCGAAATGCGCACCTGCACATCATACATTGCCACGGTGATGCCCACTCGTGCACACGTGCATACACAAACGTACAAGGCGGTATGTGACGTGTGGCCCCTCGCAGCTATATGGGACGCGTGTTCACTGGGGAGGGCAGGAGGTTGGGAACTGAATGGCCTAGAAAAAGAGCGGATAGCAGGTATGTGAAGATTAGCACACGGGAGGTGGGCGGGTGTTTACAGACTTGCTTTCAACTCCAGCGAAGAGTGAATCAGAAGTTTAGAAGTTCAAGAAGAGGGCGGGAAAGGATTTGAGAGGAACTCGTTTTTGGCAGAGAGCATTTGTTGCGTGGCGGATTGCTCTTTGGTTATGGAAAGGAATGTTGTACTTGCACTGTTTTCTCTCATTTAATCTTGCATCGGGTCCGGACGGCTAAACATTTCGCACGTGATGCCCGCGACAGCAAAGCATACTTTAGGTTACACCGGTACCACCTTGCACTCTCTTTCGTGGTACGTACCGTAGTTAAATTGTGCGCTTGTGTTGCGGTTTAGCAGTGCATTGCAGCGTATTTATCACAAGGATGCCTACCGTTGTCAGCCATGTCGCCTTTTCCCGACGGGCGCGGCTTTGGGAGTACATACACCATGGGAGGTGTGTCTGACGGCGCACGAACAAAACGTTTCTTTAGCGTTCTGCAGCCTAGAACGCTGCCCCGCCGAAAAAAAGTGCGAGATGCAACCACCTGCAGAGAGATGGTGCTCTTTATCGTCGACCGTTCATGTTCTCGTTTCTGACCAGACAAAAGTGTGAGCATAGTCTGTGAACGAGTATATCCCATCTATCTATCTAATAGAGTCAATGAAAAAAAAATATAAATAATTTATGAAATTGATTTTTCTCTAAAAATCCTATCTATCTATCTATCTATCTATCTATCTATCTATCTATCTGTCTATCTATCTATTCGCCGGCGAGTCGATCAATAATTGGCCACCCATCGAGTCAAGGAACCATCAACGACCTATCGACTGGTCCACGCACGAATCGTGGGCAATAAACCAAAACGAACCGCGAGGGCAATCAGCTCAGCAGTCTTGTCAAGTCATCACCCTTTTTTCTTTTGTGATCCAGTCCAGTCACTCCGCGGATACAGCACCCGAGCACTTGGCAGGTGTTAACTGTCTTCCCGGAATTGAACGCTTGCTCGTTGTCGTGTCTACATCCGACAACTCGATCCTGAATTTTCAGGTACAAATAAAAGCCGCATAATGACCGCGAGTGTCCCAGTCGTGGGAGAATGCAGTTGGACAGGACTTGGTGAATCGGCAAAGCATTTTTGGAGTGATGATCGATCCAGTACGGAATCAAATCTTAGAGCGTTCTTTTGGAAGTGAGCGCCGGCGAAGGCTAATGGATTGTCCACTCACTGATCAACGCTGTCTGCCCAGTTAGCTCTTGAAACGCGATGTAGCGAAATGAAAAATATTATAAAATGAGCGAATTTAATTGCTGTGATAATCGCTAACGGAAGTCTCTGCAACAGGTTGATTGCCAGACTCCGGTTAACCTCGGAGTCGGTTATCTATGAAAGGCACCTGCGAGGGATAATGGATGAAGGGTTTGTTGTGCTTGTGGGCGGAGAGAGCGTGCAAGTGCGGTGGAATCGAAAATCCGCTGCTATGGCTTGCGAGGATCGACCCGCTTGGTGTTCTGTGCGAAAATCAGTTGTCCGAAAACAAATAATGTAGAACCAAAAAAAAAAAAAGCAGAACAAAATAAAATAAAATGGATGCCTCCCTAAGAATTAACTGCAAATGAGATGAGGAAACGAGAAAACTCGCTTCCATTCTCGTTCGATGCGTGAAAAGGTGTGGGAATGAAACCAAAAAAAACTCTCGCCACGGGTTTGTGGTGGATGCACCTCAGTGCATGTTCACCTGAGAATGGACCGTCTATGCTGCTGCTGGCAAATCGGGATTAGCAAAAATCAGCGTGTGGATGATTTTTTCAGCCGTTATGGGCGTCAAAAGGAGCAACATTGGTGTGATGTCGCCTTTTGATCTCTCCTCGCATGACGTGTTGACTTTCTTCCTTCAGTTTTCACAGAGGATATTGGGTGCCGCGATGCCAGTAAGGGTCTGTGTGAGTGCGCGCGCGCGCACGAGGTGTGTGTGTGAGAGAGAGAAAGACACGCACACACACACACACACACACAGAGAGAGAGAGAGAGAGAGAGAGAGAGAGAGAGAGAGAGAGAGAGAGAGAGAGAGAGAGAGAGAGAGAGAGAGAGAGAGAGTGGGGACATGGAGGCGCTGGTAACGATGCAGCAAATTTTCAAAACTAGCGCCGCCTTATTCTGGTCATATGGAGAGAGAGAGAGAGAGAGTGGGGACATGGAGGCGCTCGTAACGATGCAGCAATTTTTCAAAACTAGCGCCGCCTTATTCTGGTCATATGTGGGAATAGTTGAAACAGGCTAGCAGGATTGCTTGCCGCGCAGGAGAGGTAATGCGCTCGACGCCACAGTGTTGTAATACTCTTGCATCATTTCTTCGCGGCAGGGAACGGGAGAGGAAAGACTGGCACGTGCTGAGTGGTCCTCTGCCTGCGCTCACTTTACCTCTGTCCAGTTCTCCGTTTCTCTTGCTTTTCCCTCGGATGCAGCGGGTCGCTTTCTTCTCTTAATGGGACCTGCGCCCTGTATGGCACAACAATGCTCCTTTCGGACTAGTGCATTTGTGATGAGTTGTATTGATTGGGCGATCAGTTCACTGCAATGATTTGCCTGGTTGAGCGACTGATTGATCGAGCTGCGTCGGTAAGTGATTGATTTCATTAGAGAGTGCTTGATCGGCCTGAATCATTTCCATTCGCATTCGCTGTTTGAAGGGATCACTCGGGGGATTGATTGCCTCAGTCCATCAGGGACTGGTCGTAATGGTTGATCAGTTGACTGGTTGATTGGTTGGCTGGTCGTTTGCTTACCTCTGCCATTGTTGCGCTTCAATGCTAATTTGGAGTGGCATCTAGGCCACGCCAGTGAAGGCCATGCATCTGGCCGTATGCACTTCCATGTACGCTCTGACAGAGGCAATGTTGAAGCGAATAAGGCAAAAAATTATGGAATCTACGGCCTCTACCAGCCGAGATTCGCCGTGCAACTGTGCCCGTTCCATTTCCGGAGTGTGTTTTTCGGTTGCGGCTGACCTATCTTTGTGTTGTTGGGGGCTTTCCCGGCGTCCGAGGGTGGCGTAAAGGTACAGTCTGTGGAGGGTTGCCTGTGGTCTGGGAGAACTGAAGTTGGTAAATGTGCATCTGTAGATATCAGTAGGGGGATCCGTGGACTGTCGACAGTTTCAGCCTCCCGATGAGTTCGGCATCAGTCCGGCGAAGCAGTCTGTCAGAACCCTCCTGTTTTTATCCTTATTTTTCTCGTGTCTAAGTTGATGGTTCGCCGGGCGTTTTTTTGTGACTACCTTGTATGGGTGGGTAGGCGGGTGGGTGATAGCCCACTTTGATTTTGGGTCAAGGCAGATTATGCGTTGGAGTGTCCGGAGGGGACTCCACAGAACGGTCTCTAGCAGCGCTCAGCCTCCTGATGAGTCTGGCAGACGAAATAGTCTGTGAAAACGAACGCCCATTTTTTGGTCCTCTTCCCCTTTTCGCCTACAGTCCGCAGGGCGGCCCTTCGCGGCAATATGTACGTGCATGTTTGTTGCTCTTTTGCCTTCTCTTTTGATTGATTGTTCCTGCTGTGATCTTGTAGCCTTGTTGTGTTGTGTTTCTTCCCCTTCTGTTGTCTTCCACTCTCCTTTTGTTCTATTACGCTCCGCTTCCAGTGTCCTTCCTCGCTGTTCTTTCTGCTCCTCAAGCTGTTATCTTCCGTGCTCGTTGTGTTCGTACGCTCGTCTTCCGGTATCCTTTGCTGCTCTTTCTGTCTGCCACCTTCCCGTAGGTACTAGAACTAGTATTATCTATTCATTCCTCATCTCCGCTCTTAAGTCTGTGGCTGTATGACACATTTTTTTACATGCCAACTCTCCTGATGACACTTCTTTTGGGCGACATTTTGTACACGTGGGTCTTGCGAGAACAGAGGTACAGTTATAGTCTACTCTTGGTTGTGAGCGCATATCGCCACCTGTCGGATTCGAGCCCTGACAGATGAGGTGGTGTCCGCAGGGATAATGTCCGCGGGGGAGGGAATGTTTCCTATATTTCCCAGCCTTTCGGACCCGTGCCGCCAGCGACTGGCATATCCACTTTGCCGCAAAGAATGCTATGTCGGAATGCATGGTCATCTGCGATGCGCCTTGCTTTCTCGTCCTTGCCTGCTGTCGGCATGCTGTTTGCTTTCCCTTTGTTTGATGGGCAGGCTGGTTTGCTGGCTGCTGCATTATTCTTTGTGATATGGTATGGTATGCCTTGTTATCAGCCGCGTCGTCGTTATCATATTTCTGTGCTGTTTGATCTCTGTGTTGGTGTTTACTACAAAAAAAAGGAGGTTAGTGTGCCTTTTAGCAGATATGTGCGCGTTGGCACGTCGCGTTCGGGGACGTCGCATCGACTTCGTTTGCTTTTGTTTCTGCTTTCGCTCCATTTTCCCTTCTCTCTCTCAATTGTTGTTGCTGTCGTGTATCCTTTTGCCTTCTGCTGCTCTTCTGTTTCTGATGTTGATGTCCCCCAGTCTCGTCCTTTTCTACTCCCCTAGTTGCCACTTTCTATTTTTCTGTACTCGTTTTGCGAATGCATTCTTAGTCCATAATTAGGTCTAATTGGTCTCTGACATGACAGAACAGATACATGTGTACATGAAGGTGTAGGGTGCAACCTACGAACCCCACATTTTTTGTCATTGTCAGTTCGCTGCGACAATATAAGTGTGTGCACATATGAGGTGAAGCCCGCAGGTGTTCCGCTCGGGAGAACAGCGAGCTGATCAACGCGGTTGTTGCCCAATCAACTGAAGTTGACTGTTAAAGAGTTACTGCCACCGTGAGGCCGATCATCAGTCCATTCATTCATTAGGACAACTTCGGTAATCAGACAGCGTTCCTTGAGGCGGAACGGCGAATTGACCTACGACCGTCCAATTTACCGATAGGGGTCCCTTCGCAATGGCCAGCTCCGGCCATCAGAAACTATTTGGATCCACGGACTGTCTTCCCATGATGGAAATCTCGCAGTTACTTTACCCCCTCCTCCCCTTTTTTTCCCCCTTCTCCTTCTTCCCCCGCGCCTCCCACCGGTTGACATGACCTTGAGCTGAATTGTGGCTCTTGGAGAACGATTACTGTCTTGAGGAGGAGGGAGGATGGGCAGGGACAGCAGCAACACCAGCGCAGCAACCTGGAAATGGTTTAAACTGGGATAAACTAGGAGAAGCTAAACAGGATGACGGACGGAGAAGAATAAGAAGGGAGAAGAGGAGTAGAAGAGCGAACAAGCGGCTGGTCGTTGTGGACGAGAGCAGAAGCATCTCAAGCCGAAGCAGGCCGTGTCCAAGCAGCAGTAAGATAAGAGAAGAAATTAGGGGAAATGACGACCGGATTGTGTCAGTTCCTTCGCGACTCCGGAATGATCAGGCGAACTTTGGTGGGGAAGGAAAGATGTTTAGGGGGCGGGGGGGGGGGGGGGGGGGGGGGGGGGGGGAGGACTTTGGTTTAGGAAGGGGGGCGGAGGGAGACATTGGTCGATGTGGGTGGTTTTTATTTGTATGGATTTTGCTCGATGTGCACGCGTGGGATTGTTGGGAGGAAATGTTTGATTGACGGCGGGGTTTGCGCGAGTGGTATATTAGTCGATGGATGTTCTAAGAGTGGGACGGGGATCACGGTCATGGAGTGAATGGGGTGGGTGTTGTCATTTCTTCATTTCTTCATTACATAATTAAGAAAGTGGTTGTTGTGCAGGTCTGGGGAAAAGCTGGCAGGGAGGACCGGGCATCCGACGGAGAGGAGTCCCGACCTTGACAAGGATGACAGACCATCGAAGGACGTGGAGGGGAGAAGATCTACAGCGGGTCATGATGTGCGGTCGGCAGGGGAGAGGGAAAGCAATGCTGTGGGCGGTGGTTATGTTGCTTCCAAGGTGCGGAACTCTGGCGACGATCGCACCGCCGGCACGAAAGGAGCGAGTCGAGCATCCTCTCGCGCAGATTGGGAGAGTACCCGCCGCCAGGGCGATGGGGCTGCGGAGCCGGGGCGCAGTCGGCACCAGGGCAGCGGCGGCAATGTCTTCGACAGAATTGTGCTGCCGTCAGCGGGCAAGGATGTCGGCGGGAAGACTGTATTCGCCCGCCTCGGATCAGGTGTGGAGTCAGCGATTCCCGTGAGAGGTGGCATGGGGGGGGGGGGSGSAKCCSGGSGGGGRGGKGGKGGSGGKGGSGGGGGGGGAGTGGTCCCGCGCAAGTCGATCAGTCCTTTGGGCGGGATGGGTGTCAATAGCAGAGCCGGTAATTCTTACACCAAAGTGCGTTCCACTTCTCGGGGAGGAAGAGGCGCAGGGGAGAGGAGCGGAGAAGGGCTTGAGAAGAGCAAAGCGCCAAGCGGGTTCGATATGAGGGCAGTAGGATACAACGAGAAGAAAGGCAAGCACTCGTTGCGTTCGGACGAAGACGGCGTGGGTGGAAGATCTCTCGTAGGACGAGGGGGAGGGGGAGGGGGTGGGGGTGGGGGTATGTCCTTTTCCAGTGGCTTGACGTATCCGAACAAGTTGTCGGGCAGTTCTCTGCCCTCCTCTCGCGAAGGAGGACGAAGCCTTCGGGAGCTTGGTCCCTCTTCTCGTTCTCAGACGTGTAAAGGAGGGAAAGGTGACGATGCTGGAAGAGGCCACTCTGCAGGCGCGCGCTCGAGGTACGGAGCCGATGGGCGCTCTCTTTCTCTTGGGGGGAGAAAGAAACCGTCTCTCACAGATTCCTACGATGATCTTCATGTGGGCCTCTCCCGGGATGTTGAGGGGTATTACCCCTCAGGCGGCGGAGGGAAGAAGAGATCGAGGTCGGAGGAGAGACCAACGACGTCCAGGCTATGGATGAACAGAGGTGGGGTAGCGAAAGGCCGGACGGCGGCGGTTGTTAAGGTTGCTGGAGGAAGAGAGAAGGACAGGACCTCGAGGGACTGGGAATCCAGGGAAAGATCAACGGCTGGCAGCGGTAGAGATTTAGCACCTTCCGAAAAGTGGCCAGAGAAGAATACGGCTCGAGGAGCATGGGGAGGAGGAGCGGGAGGGGAGAATGTGAGGGAGTCGACGAGAGGCAGCTGGTCGGACAAGCCTTTGGCTTCGAGAGATTGGGGGGCACCTCCCGCTAGTGCACCCGTGCCTCTGAGGGAGAGATCGAGGGATTGGAGCGAGAGGGAGGGAGCAATTTCACCAAAATCGAAGATAAAGGAGGCGGAGAAGCCAGGGGGAGGAAGGGAAAGAGAGAGGGATTGGAATGAGCGATCCTCAACTGCGACTGTCAGAGAGTATGGCAGCCAAAAAGCGGCGGGCGTCAGCGACTGGTATGACAAGCCGGGGACGGGCAGCCGCATGGACGACTGGTCGTCCGAGAAGTCAGCCGCAGTGCCGGGGCGCTTTGCAGAGTGGCATTCATCTTCTAGTCGACGTGAGCCCCCAGCTGCATCCCGAAGCTGGGCATACCAGGATTCCCTGAGTCGAGTGGAGTTGCTTGACAACCGCAACTACAACTTCTCTAGTAGCAAAGGGGGAGGAGGAGGAGGAGGAGGAGGAGGAGGAGGAGGAGGAGGAGGGGATGTGCATAATGGAAGCAGAAGCACCCCAAAGAGAAACTGGGAAGACGAGAAACTGGTGGACCGGAAATTAGCAGATGATGAACGTGAGTTAAATTGGGGAGGCGGGGCTGCGGACGATTACAGTAGGAAACGATTCCGCACTGCAGGTGGACTCAGTGGAGGATCCGACCATCGTGGAGAGGTTGCCGAAAACAGGAGATTTGTGAAATCCAACAATCAGTGTGCTGGGCTAAACACGCTATCAGGGAGAGCTGACCACGAGGTAATGATGATTGGGCTGCTGTGTTCAGTGTTTGTCTGCATTGCGTGGAGGTTCGTAATCCCTCAGTTTGTATGTACATGTGTGTCTTGCCCTCCCTCCCTCCCTCTCTCTCTCTCTCTCTGTGTCGCCATCCTGGCTCCCCTCCGCCTACAAAAGAACTCCCCCCGGCCTCAGCCAGTGGGGTGCTATGCTCGGCAGTTTTCTGTCCATGGTGCTTTCTTTGATTAAAAAGTCTGTACTCGTAGATCCGACTTTTGAATTTGAGATCCAAAGACTTGCCAAACGTGAATGGCGTGGTCCGCGGAGCCTCCAGTGAATTGAGTAGGGCCTTTGGCAAATGCGACTGTTAGACGACCATTTGCGAGGGGAGAGGAGAGGCGTGGAACTGTGATAAATCTGCCTGGCACATTGTCAGGATGGGTGAAGACTCTACCATGAGAGGTTGTTTGGTCACTCCGGAATGTGGATTCTCTCTGACTCCTCGAGCCATTGAAACCTTGCACATGGAGGAGGCTTCCTGTCCCACCATCAGGAACCAAGATGCTCCCTTGCTGCCTGGTCGACAATTCTCTTTCTACGCATGCCTCGCCTTTTTGGCCAGATACCTGTGCTTTCCAACTGGACAGCTGCTGGTCAGCCTTTGTTACGGTTCGTTGTTTTCCATTTTTGCTCCGTGCTGGAAGATTTGGCTCGTCCATGCCCGTCAAGTGTGGAAGTTTCTGTCTCTACCCGACAGCTGCGATTTTTGTTTTTGTCTCGTCTACAACTCGTTTGCATGGCCGAGGTATCAGAGTTGGCAATTGACGAGCAAGCTTGTGCGGCCGTTTATTCAGAATCATCAGTGGCTTCAATGACAGGATCAGCATAAACTGCACATGTAGTTGTAGGAGTGGCTGCACCAGCAGCAGTGGCAGGAACCGCAGGGTAATTTGCTGGAGTGGAACAGTAACGATTGTGGAGCGTTGCTAAAGAAGGGAAGGTTCTCGGTTGCTTAAAGTGGACCAGTGGTTGCAGCAAAAGGGAGTACCATTACCTTGTGCGATCACGAAGTCCCACTGCTGGTGCTCTGGTTCCTGTGGCAGGAATGGCCGTTGCGGAAGGATTGATGAAATTTGAAGTTGCGGCAACGTAATTGACATTTACGGTCGCAAGAGTGGTGGTGACAACAGTATCAGCAGCGAGTCACATGGTGGTGACTGCAGCAGTAGCAGCAAGTGCAGCAGGAGCAACAGGACAGTGAGAATGAGCAGGATCAGAAGTAGAGGAGTCAACGGAGCTGCAGGCACAGCCAGAGTAACGATGGCATTGGCAGGAACTGAGACAACATCAGTTTCGAAATGAATAAGGATCACTGGCTGTAGAAGCAAGACAATGCTTTATGCTGTACAGCAGATTAGTACTTCGGATTGTGACAGGTGGCAGAGGCCATCATAGTCAACCAGGCAGGTAGTGGCTGACAGCATTAGCAGTAGTAATACGATTCTTTGCTCTAGACTCCTAGTAGGTTTGTAACGGCCCCAGTTTGGGTCTGATGGCAATGTGTCAGCAGATCCTTATGCTACAGAGGCCTGTTGCTCTTGAGCTCGCACAAAGGGAGTAGTTTCCGTGCACTCTCCCAGTTTGAAAAAAATCGTTCTGTCGACTTCTGTCAATTTTGTGCATCTAACATGTATGGGATGCCCACTGCAAGACAAGTTCCGTACGAAAATCTGGAGGAACAAGATAGGAAGCTGCTATCTGTGGCGTTGCAAATAATTATTTGTTGGGAAGAGATGTTTGCTGTCGTGCCTCTACTTTTCCCCTCGTTAAGCTACTTCAGTGCTCCTTTGAAGAGTTGTGGGAATCCATTTGCAATGGACCATGTTCTTGCCAAGATCCCCTCCTCGTCCCTTTAATAATGATCTGTTCTCTCAGACCCCTCGAGAGAGGCTTTGCTGTGGAGTCGTGTGTGGACCCCCCTCCCAAATGATCTCCCACCGTTTGTAAGTGGGTAGCCGTCAGCGTTATTGTGTTGAACAATTTGTGAATCCATGAGATGGTCAGTATCATCTTGAAGTGTTTAGCCCATCAGACCGTGTGTGGACCCCCCTCCCATTCAGTTGCTTGGTAAGTGCCCCCCCTCTGATGGCCGTGTGAATCCCTGCTTAAGGTTGGCCCATCAGATGGAGAACTTGGGGTGGATTTGGTGCAGGGGAGGATATCGTGCAGCTCCTTGGGGCCAGCTTGGCATTCTGTGCATTTAGCACAGCAGGCCATGTTATGATGCTGTTCGAAGCAACTTCTGGTACATTGCCTGTCATTGCCATTGGGCAAGGCTACGTGCAATGCTCTTGAGACAGCATTGTAGCCTGTGGATTTATCACATTGGCAACCAGGCGAGGATGGTCGGTGTGTGGACCAGCAGTGTCGCCTGAGTATTCAGCACGTTACGTGCTGGCTCTCCATTTGGAATTTGGACCAGCAGTGTCGCCTGAGTATTTAGCACGTTACGTGCTGGCTCTCCATTTGGAAATTAAGTAGCATAAGCCATTCATTGGTCTGCAAACCCTCCTGAAGCATCCAACCTTGCAGCATGGAATTCGAAAGATGCAACCCTTTGGTTCGGTGGGTAGAGATATGTGCTGGGCAGTCAGTGTTTTTGTAAATTTTTGTGCATAAGGCTGTCTGAGATGTTGCGCTAAAGAACATGTCGATAGCTTTATGCCTTGGGTTGCCTTAAGTCTAGCTTTTCCGTATTCTCAGTTGTGAGGAGCCTGTGGATGGATTTGCGCCTCTTAGGTTGCCCGTGCGTGTGGATCCACGGGGATCAGAATGGTATTGACTTGAATTTAGCACACAGTGAAAACAGAGTAAGAAATGGGAGGGCAGACACTGACAGAAAGGCGAGCATTATGGTCGTCCTTTGAGAGGCAACAGTGCACAAAGTTGACTTGGAAGAGGCAAAGGGGAGATGAATCCATCTCTTGGAAGACCAAAGGCCTCTGAGGTGGATGCAGATACATTCAAGAATGTTTATTATTTTTTTTGGAGCAAGGCAAGAGATGAAAGTGCAGTGTGGATGTCGGAATGGCAGACATACTGTTTCTACCACTTCGAACTGGATGCCTCTGCACTTCTGGACCATGAAGCTTTACCTGTCCAAGGACGAGTCTGTCCGTCGAAAGGCAACCTGAGATGAAAATGGAAGGCCGACCTACCTCTACAACTCAAACGATAACCCGAATTGCCCTCCCAACTTTGACCGATGGGAGAGAAAGAGTACACAAACCAGAGACAGCGTCGAACGTGCCGTTTTTGTACGGCAACAACAGGGGGGAGCGAAACGGCCCCCTCTGGGCTGCAGCCCCACCACATGCCTGCTCGGAATGTCTTCCATTTCCCTTCAACTTCAGGCTACTGACGCTCTCCAAATTGGGAGCGAGGGAAGCCACGACCACGGACCCCACCACACTTCAAAATCGAAGGTGGTGAGGTTGTCAGGAATCTAGTGACGCTCAGGCGGGAGTGCCCTTGGCAGAAGCTATGGATGGCACACGGATTTCTGCAATTAACATTGAGTATCGCATTTCGCTGCTCTCTTCGTCGTGGCGAGGGCCAAGATATTCGTTTGCCAAGAGTTCTCCAACACGGCGCTGCTCTGACTGGACCGACGCCCTACCCAGAGGGGAAGGGGGTCATCAACCCGGACAGAAACAGATCAGAGCAAGTACAAAAAAAATCGAAGTTGCGAAGGCCATGGCCAGTGCGACTCCCACGGCCGCATCCGGCCCCCCGTTTGGGGTGGGGAGACATGCCTCCACAGCGCTGGGGGGCGACGAGGGTGCAAGCACTGTGCCTGACCCCACCCGTTCATGACCCAAAGCCTCCCCCCACAGCCCTCCGCCCCCAGATTAAATCTGGCTCGGCAGTGTCGAAAATCCTGGTCTAACCGCCCACACGTTGGAGAAGAAGCAGGGGGGAAACGGAGAGGGGCCGAGGACCCCAAACTCCACATCACACCGTGGTCTCTCGTTCATGCTTTGTTCATTTGTTCTGCCATCCAACTATATCAGCCAAGTTATTTACGCACAATGACAACCGTCATTGATAGATGTGCACCGTCTCCAATTCCTTTCCTGTAAAAAAATGGTTTCAGTTGCCCAGCTGGCACTGACACAAAAGCGCGGAGTCAATGAACTTAAGGAACTGGAATGGTGATTGCAACCATTACACCATGACGAAGGGAGAACAGAGTCTATGCTGTGTCTGGCTACTAGTACAGGCAAATCTCAGGCAGTTCCTTTTCTTTAATGCCTTTGGCTGGTATCATTCCAGTAGTTTGGCTCAGTGTAAAAGGAAGGAGAGAATATGCAAATCATGGATGGAGGCTGGAGCTGCTGACGCATTTATGATTAGGCTATAACGTATTGAGGGCGATGTGGGGTATAGCAATGTCAAATCTCAACCGCATATGGAGGCCATGCTTTCTGTTTGGTTACCACCTTCCTTGGGCGTGCACTGAACATGCTGCCTTAAATGATAGGGTGGTGAACCTATCCTGTGGTGATTAGTGGCTTCGTTACTTTCCTGGCCATGGCCGAATCATGCAAGCAGCTGAACCTTCTTTCACAGTGTACTATCAAGCGGGATATGCTAATCGTCCCCATGTGCGGGCGCAGTCACCTCATAATAACACCTGATGATGTGGTGCTTCAGCTGGAACCAAACACACAACATGATAGGGATGCTCTTATGAAGAGGGACTTGGAAGAAGGCATGCATAGTATATCCCTTAGGCCTGCTTTGTGAGTGACGTCGACTCTTTTGGTTGGAGCTTGGAGCGGTGCATATAGTGCCTTAGCCGTGCTTTGCGAGCCACATTGGCTCTTTTTGTGGGTGCTTGGAGGGGCATATAGTGCCTTAGGCCGACCTTGTGAGCAGTGTCAACTCTTTTGGTGGGATCTTGGAGACTTGTGCATAAACAAGGCATACATATCATTCGGTTGGAATTTGAGCAATGCTGCGTTGTTGCTGGTCTTGGCATTAGCAAGTCAGTGCCTGGTGGCACGGTAATCATGGGCATGGAGTCCAATTGGACTCTATGCGCAGAACTGATTGAATGTGACATCACATTGGAGTGCACGGGTTGACAACGATACATGCGCACCTGAGACATTGTGCCCTAAATATCACTGTGGCCGTGTCACCTAAGCTAGCTTGGCAGTTCTCTGTATCACTGGAGTGAATCTTTTGTCTCCCCATGGCAACATCCCTTGTACAACTCCTTCCCCCCCCTTCCCTGCCCCTCCTCCTCAGGAGAAGTACATGCAGGTCATCATATTTGTGCATATTCCCACGAGCGTGCTCCTGAGCTTGTCATTGATGATTTGTGCTTGCTGGCAGGTCATCATATTTGTGCATATTCCCACGAGCCTGCTCCTTAGCTTGTCATTGATGAGTTGTACTTGCTGGCAGGTCATCATATTTGTGCATATTTCCCTGAGCCTGCTCCTTAGCTTGTCATTGATGGTTTGTACTTGCTGGCATCTCTGGAGGCCCCAGAGAAGAAGATCCGTAGGGGGGTGGGAGGGAGTCAGTTTCTGTTATGGTAGAACGTTGTGGCATACACATTCTAACCAAGCTGTTGTCTGGATGTCGTGGATTGTGAGAGCGTAAGGCTATCTCCCACTACGACTAAAGACCACTCCAGTTATGCCGTGGGACGTTGAATGCAGCAAGCCACCAACCATGGAATCGGAGCATGTCCAGGTCGGACTGTTGCAGAGGGTGAGATGGCTTTGTGCGCTTCTGCCCGGTGGAAGTGAACTAATGCAACTATGTTCGACCTGAAGTAGTCTAGTCTGTCTGTGCGTGCGTGCTCCATGACCGTTGTGATGGAAATTGCAGACCGTACTCCGAATCTGATCCTATCGGCAGATTGGGCTTTGGAAGCCCAGATAGTAACGTGGTGTTACCACGGGGTTGCCTCCGGGTGAGACTTATTTCTAGGGTGGGGTTTTCTTGAATTGTATGCTGGATGCAGGATCCATACCTCGACGATTCACACAGTGGACTCCCAGGTTCACGGCGACAGAATGATCACACCAGGGTATCTATTTTGCCTGTGACTGGGATAAGCAGAGGCAGGGACTTGTCCTATGATTCTCATGGGAAGATTGCGCCCACAGGTATTATGATGTCTGAGACTGAACTGCGCAGAAAGGCAGTAGAGGTTGCTGCTGTCCGTGCTGAGGTTATCGCTAAAGAGGCAATGCGGGCTGCTGAAGAAGCAAGGGCAGTAGCAGCTGCAGAAAGAGCGGCGGCTGCAGAACGGGCGTTGGCAGCTGAGAAGGCAGCAGCTGAGAGGGCAGCCGCTAGAGAAAGGGCTGAGAGAGCGGAGAGAGCAGAGAGAGCAGAGAGAGCAGAGAGGGCAATTGCTGCAGAGAGAGCAGCTGCGACAGAGAGACTCCTCCAGAATAGACAGGGCAGCTTTATGGACTCAGGTCACACAGCTCAGGGACTATACCGGCAAGATGACTTGCGGAGATACGATGCCGTCTATTCTCATAGTGTTCAGCACTACAGTGGGGACACCTTTCTGGGAGACCGGGGCTTGGGAAGAAAGCTGCCACCTATGGCAGAGCGGAATTGGTTGCCCCAGTATCCTGGTTCCCACCCTGGTGGGCCGGGCTATTGATTGTTGGATATCTTGCATGCAGGGTATGAGATCAGAGAACATTCTTGTTATCTTCAGGTGCCACTTCTGCAAAATGTCAAGGGGAGTAAAATTGTGCATGGCCAGGACAATCATCTTTGAGTGCCTGGATGTATGTTTGTCACAGTGGGCAAGCCTGCCAGTAAGTGATAGTGACAAGGTCGGCGGGTTGGAGGCACGGAAATGTGCTTGTCTTTTGGGGGAGAGAGAGAGAGAGAGAGAGAGAGAGAGAGAGAGAGAGAGAGAGTTAAGGTCACTGAATGGCTGTAGTGACCTCATGCCTTGAGGCTGACAGAGCAATGGCAAAGGGCAATGTGATTGGGCAAGCTGGTAATGTGCAGGGATTGTATTTCGTGCTCTTTTCAGAGCAAAGGGAGATCACATGCATGAGGAGCAATCAGAAGTCCACGTTGCAGGGCGTGGTGGACGATGGTGAGGTGAGGAAATGTGCTGTCATGGCGCACCGGAGTTGGCTTATCTTTAACCTCCTACTAGTTGAGTGAAGCTAGTGTGTTTACTGGGACATAACAGCGGGCCGGAGAGAACCCTTACACAGACTAATGTGCATCATGCATGGCAAGAGGAGAAGGATTGGGCCTGGGGAGCGGCTGATGGGAGTTCTTGGAAGGACACCTTGCCGGCACAGCATTCCATTCTAGATCTGGAGCTAAGTACATTCACCAATCAGATCAGATGTGCTGCACTTGTCTGACAGGGAAAGTCTTTCGCAGATCACAAGGTTTTCTGAGGTATGTTGGTATCAAGGACGTCTGTAGTTCTGCATCAAAGCTTTTCCGTCTACATATGGAGTGCAACTGGGGAGTCTGTTTTAAGCAGAGACATGTTTCTCCAAGATATTGTGCAAGAACTGCGATGATGGGATTGACTCACTGCTCCTGAACTGTAAAGCTACTGACGTGTGACCAGTAAACATTGGTGCAAAGAAGCATTGGCTGAAGCAGGGTTTCCTTCGGTCTAGATGCTGCAAATCTTGAGCTTTTCTGCTAAAGATGCCATCGATACTTTTCTTCCATGGCAGTCGTGGTGCATGTGAGGAAGGTGAGCATTCAGGGGTCACAACGATTACAAGCAATAATGTGTGAAGGTGGTGAGATACCCTGGGCTTATGCTCGTCCTTCTTGCACATCTTCTGCATCCCTGACTCTTGCCCCAGATCAAGCTGTGAGATTATCCCATTCTAGCATCATGGCAGGCATTCAAGTCAGTTTGGTGGCCGTATGCTCGTCCTTCTTACACATCTTCTGCATCTCTGGCTCTTGTCCCAGATCAAGCTGTGAGATTATCCCATTCTAGCATCATGGCAGGCATTCAAGTCAGTTTGGCGGGGCCTTATGCTCGTCCTTCTTGCACATCTTCTGCATCTTTGGCTCTTGTCTCGGATCAAGCTGTGAGATTATCTCATTCTAGCATCATGGCAGGCATTCAAGTCAGTTTGGCGGGGCTGATGCTCGTCCTTCTTGCACATCTTCTGCATCTTTGGCTCGTCCCAGATCAAGCTGTGAGATCATCCCATTCTAGCATCATGGCAGGCATTCAAGTCATTTTTGGCAGACTCCATGAAGGTCGGAACAATTCGGGTTCTGGATAGATACTGTGGCCATTGCTTGGAGGCTGATGTTATTCGGGATGCGTGTATTGTTTTACACAATGGCCAGGTTTTTCTTGAATCTGCAGCTTCCCTGGGGAGGTCGTCCACCAGCGCACGAGAAGATTCGTGTATGTGTGTGTGTGTGTGTGTATGTGTGTGGATACAGGAGGTTGAGTGTAGGAAAGAGGCATTGAGCAAAAGGGGGCTAGTATGCCTGGTTTTGGGGGGGGAGGGGAGGAGGGGGGGTGCGGTCAGAGAGTAGCTCATGAACAAATCATTTGCAGGCTTGTCATCGGAAGTTGTCCTCTGCTGGTCTCCAACCTATATGGAAGGACATGTTTGGCAACTTGCTTTGCAAAATGAGCAGCAGGGCATGTGCGCAATGCATTCGAGTTATCGAAGTGCTTTTGAGAGCTCTCTATGGGCTGGGTGTTATAAGGTTATCTAGGCTGGTGTGAATTCTGGCCGATGCAGTGAGAAGTTGGTTGTTTCGCTGCTGGATTGTTAATGTGCACGTGAATCGTTTTGACCTGTTAATCGAACTTTGACGCGGCTCCACACCCTGTATGTTGTATGACTCAGCGAGTAAGGGCAGTGAGGAGGGGTGGGGGTGGGGGGCGCTCGATGGCACCAGGAGAGGGGGACTCGGGGGGGGGGGGGGGGGGAGGGTGCAGGGGTTCAAGAGGGTCCCTATTTTGGAAAGCATGGGTGTGAAGTTGACAAAATTTATGGTATATCTTTGAATGTCAACCGCTGACGTATTGTTCCCTGTTTTCCAAGAATGAGACTGAGCAACATGTTACTTGTTGTGCTTCCGAAGCTGCACCTTCTGGTCTATTTCTGCTCATGACTGTCAAGTTTGAACCAACCTCAGACAGCCCTACCCTGTCCTTCCTATGCTCTGTCTTCCTGCTTTTTCATTTCTCTTCGACTCTCTGGCTCCCGCGCTCCCCAGTATCTTTCTCTCTCTCCGTCCCTCTTCCACGCTTTTGCTTCCCTTTTGTTTCTTTTTCTCTTTCTTCCCTCTCTATCCTTTGATTGATTGCGTCTCCCCTGTTTCTGAGCGGAGGTCTATTTTTTCTGCCACTGCCCCTGTTTCGTCGTGGAGGACGTTATCTGGAGGTCTTCATCTGTTCAACGAGCAATGGCACCCAGGATGCTTGTCCATTGAAGAGCACAGGTGGATGAAGGTGAGGTCTTGGTACACCACCTGTAGTCTTAGAAAAATGGAAGTGGTGACATTTTGGATGCGCCATATCGCTCAGTGCAAGTTCAAAGGTTCTGTCAGAGGCTCAAAGGGGCATATCTGCTGATCAACATTGTTTGTCCCGTGAATTTCTTCAATTTTGGGAATGATAGCGTCAAATGATTCCTGATGCGGTGGTGTGCCTTGCCACAGTCCGATTATGCAAAAGTCCTTTTAGAGGATGGGTAAGCAGTAGTTAGTTCGTTTGCTCTTGATTGTACAAAGCACGGATGGATGCCTGTGCAGGAAATCTCCTGTGATCAAAAGGGCTTTTGGGGGGTGAACGGCATGGGAAATGGTTTGTATAAACTCTTGTTTTGTTGAGTAGAAACTGTAGGCATTTGTTTTGTGCCATACATGTCGCACAGGTTCTTTCATGATGGATGCTGTTCGATTTTAAACCAGGCATCCTGAAATATCCTGTTTTCAGTCCAGACTCCAGACAGATTCAGGAGGTGCTTAGGAACACACATGATTGTGTTCATCGGTGACTATGAGGTCTGAGGTCTGGTGCGCTGTTACCCTCCACTCCTATTTCGCTGGCATTGCCTATCGTTGTAATCCCCATTTCCTAATTTATATGCACATCTCATCTTTCGGTTGCCAGGCAGATGAAACACTTCCAGATGATGCCATCTGATTCTACCATGTTCGTCCACATTCTATCTTCGTGGTATCACACCCAGGACTTTGGTTGTGGCATGGACTCTCGATTTCATAGTTGTGGAATGCAGGAAGACACCATTGTTGACGGTTGGTCTTCATCAATCGTCAGTTAGGTAGGCTGTGACATGTCTTCTTGCTGATCCAGATTGTTGCAGTGGTGGCCTATGTGGAAAGTCGATATAGAATTAGAATGTGTGGTAATAACAATCCTAGATCCAAGTGTGGCATGATTGTGGAGTAAATTGTAGCCTTGGCGGGAGGGGTAGCAGGAGGACATGAAGCGATGTTGTTGACGAAGAGCAGGTTGTGGAGCCCCAGCACGGTTTTGTGGGTCGCTCTCCGGAATAGGAATATTGATGCAGGGACAAGAGTAGCAAATGAGTTTCTCTGTTCTCAGTCTCTGATCTCTCAAGTCTGAAGTCAGAGAAGTTCCAGGTCTGTTGAGGCTGTGAGAACACTAGAGAATACTCAGGTGGACATGCCCTGTGGTTCTCAGAATTACTAGCCAGGAGATCATATTGCTTAGCCTGCAGATGTCTTGTTCTCCTGATTAGGGAGAAAGCTCCCTATGTGGACACAGACAGTTATAGCAGCAAACTTCCCCCTTGGGAGTGTCTGTGGTGGCAGGCATTTCGTACCGATAATGATCACTGGTTTTGCCGGGTTGATTGGCATTTGGTTTCTCTTTTTCATGGTAAGAAAGTTTTCATAGCTGAGGAGTACGGTTCTGCAGAGCATGCTAAAGGATAGAAAAGAGTCGAGAAGCACCCAAGAAGTTCCAGAGTGAACAAGTGCAGACCGAAGCTGAAGGTCTGGATGGTTTAATGTCCACGACCTGGAGACGAGGTTGGTCTGGATTGGAGTTGACATTCGGATGTTGTTTGGAAGTGGTCCATGTGCACTGCACTACATAGAGTTGGTCAGGCTTGAACATACCAAGAGACAATGCACCCGGAAAGTTGGCGCACACTTAGACAACTGGAACACATTTTGAGCAGGTATGGTCCGGTATCGAGTTGGCACTCTGCCAGGGGGCTGCCCTGGTTCATGTTCACGAAGTTGAGACCAGAAAAGAAGGTGCCCAGAGAAAATGCGCATGGATTATGGTCAGCTCTCCTTCAAGCACGGGACAACTACTGCTGGAGGTGCGATGTAACCACTTTTTGTGAACAGGGAATCATCCCTACCTTATGTGCATTGTGCTTCAGAATTCAGTCAAACAGATCATCATGATGATCGGACGGTGAACACAGGTGGTAGGACATGTCCACTCTCTGTTGGATTTCTCAAAGTTGGTGATTGTCTGACTGATGCTAAGGTATGCAAGTACTGAGATGCCGGAAGCCGCCAGGAAGCGGCTGGTTGCCTGTTGCTCCCCAAACTGTAAGGACAAGGCCTTGCTGGGCGCGGAAGTCCTTCACAGACAGTGGGGCGTCTCTTTTCCTGAAGTGGCTGATCAAGGTTAATTGTTGGCAAGCCAGCGAAGCCTGGAGTTGTGCAGGTCCTTCACAGACAGTGGGGTATCTCTTTCCCTGAAGTGGCTGATCAAGGTCATTGTCGGCAAGCCAGCGAAGCCTGGAGTCTGGAAAGGTTGTGTTTATGTATGTGGATTGATTCTTTGTCTAGCATTTCACTAATAAAAAAGGGTGACAAAATTGGCGAAATGGAATTCGGTGAGCACCTGAATAACTTGTCCAAGATGCATACCAGATCTGTTCTTGTGGTTTGGTTTGTTATGGTTACTTTCCTGAGAATCGTAATGTTCTTCGGTGCACGCTTGCCTGACCGGTCTGTATCTTGGGGCCCATGATCTGCTGGAATATTATGATATTGTGCTAGTGCATCCTTCCTTGGGGGAAATAAGTACATGATATTGGAAGAGACAGATGGCCTGTCTGGAAGGAGGCATCATTGTTGAGTGAAGGGCAGGTCTTCTTCCCAGTATGTGTGCTGTGCATACTCTTGGGATGCTGGAGAGTGTTGGTCTCCCGCTCCTCTGTCTTGCAGGTCTTTCCTTCTCGCGCCAGTAGGGAAGCGGGCCGGGGGGGGGGGGAGGTCGCTTAAGGCTCTGTGAAGGACTGGCAGATTGTGTCCACATAGAATTTGTGAATATGTCCATGTACAGCTCGTAACCAGGCCATCGGAGAGGCCCTAGCATGGGATTTTGACATAAGGACGTCAACCGTTAAGGATGGGCTAATTTGGTTTAGGGTTTACTAAGCTTAACATTCCACATGTTCTGCGCATGTCATAGCTAGCAGGAAGTGGCAGGTTTGAGTTGAAGATGTTGTTTTGAGATGCCCTTTCGGGAAGCTGTATGTTGCCAGTCACCATCGAAAGGTGCTCATTGTTTGTGGATAGAGTGTTCTTGTTCAGATGGCTTTGTCCCTTGTATGGTATGGTGCATGGATTGCCTGTCGGGCTTTGAAGGTGGATGTGCTGAGGTACACGTCCTGGCATGTTTATTCTCTTCGACTGTTGGAGTCGTGTGGCTTCTGTTCTACCTGTCATGTTTGTGATTCTCACTGTTCTACTTGCTGCTGCGCCTTAAGTATGAATGAGTGTGAATATTCTGCTACTATCCATCAAAGTTGTGGTGGTCTGGTATGATCTCCATTTGGTGCGGGCCTGTCCATGATGGACGATTGCGATCATGTGAATTGGCATGATGGTGCTATGGAGGTCAGTTGTGTCAAGAGTGCAAGACCACTGGAATGTGCACTAACACGCAATAATGCTCATGAGACCCTTTGGGATTGCAATTGAAGGGCACGTGACCACCTGTGCCAATGACTGCAAGAGACCTAAGAGGACATGAAGTCAATTGTCTCAGGCATCACTTTCCCACAGAGATCAGACCCAGTAGCTATGGAGGCGGAGGCCCACTTGCTGAAACGTGCCTAGCAGGTACCTAGGTGGGTACCTATGGAACCCAAGCCGAGGAGGTAGTCACACCTACTGGTCTTCTTTTTATCAGTAGAGGTATGTTGTGCTCGTTCTGTGAGGCTGTGGGGATGTCGCATGCTCCTCTGAACCTGCAGGGGGCATTAGACTATTTATTGTGCATCTACTGTTCAGTGCAACATTGGATATTCTTTCTGGCAGCATGATGCAACCCGTATTTCGACATCATGGGACTACTCTCTAGAATGCCGGTGTATGCATCTAACTATGCACAGTCTGTATCTTGCATACAATCTAGCCGTTTGTCCACAACACAAACATAGCCATCTACTATCTAGAATGCATGTGCCACCATGCAACGTGTGGTTCTTGAGCAAGCTTCCGCATCCATGTGAAGTGCTGGGTGCTTGAGGTGGTGCTGAGGGCTTGAACCAGCAGTATGTCTCCCAGCCGTTCTCCTCCAAAGCAGCCGTTTATTGCTCCGTGCGGCCTACAGGACTGGAAAGGATGCTGGAACCAGGTGAAGGAAAAAGGAAAACGGAAAACTAGGGCGAAGTCGAGGTTTTCAGTTTTAAATGCGTTTCAGTCACCGTTTTGCGAATTTTACTCCAAAGCGAGGAAAATCGTGAATGTATTCAACCCACCTTTAGGGTTGGGTGGGGATTTATTGTATTTGAGGGATGTGCAAGGAAGATGAGCAATAGCGAACTTTAGCTATCAAACAGCACCATACATATGAGTCCAGATAGTCGTGACCTCGAACCAACAGTAGAATTGCATCACGAGATTCACCAAATAAGAACACACCAAGAGTTCATAATTGACAATGCTGAAATAGTCCCCTCGTCATCATCAACGAAGAATCAGAGTTGATATCCTATCTGGCGCTCGGCACCCAGACTACATGTGGCAGATCCTATCTAGCCTATACTACAATTCCGAAGTTGACGACAACAGCACCCCCGAAGTACGAGCATACAGCGACCAATGTCGCACGCTTCCAGCACCAGGTATGTCTCTCGCTACACTCACAACCTCGTTCCCCAACACACAGATGCCTTTTGCACCCAAGGACTACCCTGCGCCTCACCCAGCTTACAGCAGCGCAGCTCGGCTATGGCTGCGCGCTCCTTCCCTGCTCGCCCGTGAGAGCATAGGCGCCAGCCAGCAAATAGCGCAGCAGCGCTTGCGCAGCATGCAGCCAGCACCCGGATCCCGAACGAGGAGGCATGCCCTTTGCTATACCGAAGTGGCCTGCCTGCGTCCAGTCCCAGGAAGCTTCCAGTAGGCCCCGGTAGCCTGAGGCCCAGCACGATCGAGAACAGGCCTGGGGCCTGTGGTAGTTGCATGTGCCCAACTGCCTTTGGCATGTGTTTGGCCCAGTACCCGTATCCAGCCCAGGGCCTGCTTTCCATTCATTCACACAGGAGGCCCAGGGCCTGGGTTTCTTCAACCAACTGGCGCTGCGCAACTGCCTGAATTTCCTTAGTTGCACAGTGGCCGAAATAGGGCCCTGAGGGCCTCGTCAAGCCTGCCTTCACTTAGGGCGGCCGACTGGCTCCAAAATGGGGGCTGACTGGGGTTCATAGAGGCACTAGCCTCGCAGTCCCTCCTCCTTGGCTTCAACAGTCTGAGAAACTCAGTCTTCAATCATGGGGCGCTTTCCCTTCTGCAGAGATCTCTCGTATTGGCCTACAACTTGAGGAGCGGTCTGCATGAGTTCCTCCTTGGTGAACCAACGGTCCTCCTTCGGACCAGTGTGATGCCGGAACCGAACGCGATATTGCAGCTTCGGTTTAGGAGGGCGTCCCCTGCCTGTTGGTCTTGATACTGGCAGCTCTTTGTGGTCCACGATGTCATTGATGTCCACCTCTCCGTCCATGGGTGGGGGCAGCATTGAGCGTCGAGATGGAAACTGATCAGTTTCTTTGAAAGGTGCCAGCTTAGAGGCGTGAAAGACAGGGTAAGTGCGGAGGGGACCAGGTATCTGGATAACATAAGATGGACCATCAGGATCTGTCCCAACGATGTCTAAGACTTCCCAGGGTCCAAAGTACTGCGGCATGAGTTTGCGGGAGATCCCATTCTCCTGTCCCAGTTCTGAAGACTTCACCCAGACCCTATCCCCAACCTGAAAATGTAGAAGGTCGGCGGTGTCTATTTTCAGACTTTATCATTGCAACCTGCACCTTCTGCATCTGTTCTACAGCCTGCTGCATCTTTTGTTCGTAGTGATACGCAAATTCTAAGGTACCTGGTGCAGCAGTGGATTGATTCTTAGCGAGAAGAAAGTCTAGGGGCGGTCTCGGCTTAAATGTTAGCAGTAAGCTGTTTGGGCTCACCGCGGTGGCGCAGTGTACAGCGTTGTTATACAAGTTGGCGATGAGAGCAAGCTTCTCATCCAAGTCCACCTGGTTGGGCTTGATGTAGTGCCTCAACGGGTGTTGTACAGCGCGGTTCAGTTGCTCGGCCTGTCCATTGGCCTCTGGGTGATTCCCAGAAGTCATCTGCAACTGAGTTCCCTGTTCTGCAGCAGCGGCCTTTCACAACTCGCTGGTAAACCGGACATCCTTGTCATTGATAACAGACTTCGGTAAACCAAAGTCTCTCACCTAGTTCTCTTTGAACGTTCGGATCACATACTCCGTTTTTGTTGTTTTCGGCATTGCTACTAACCTAGCATACTTACTAAATCTATCCACGATGACGAAGATGTGACGCATCCCACTCTTGCTGGTGATTAGAGTATCCATGAAATCCATGGACAGACTCTCACCAGGCCGTTCCGGAATCGGAAGGGGCTTTACAATCCCAAGAGGAGCCTGAGTGCGTGGCTTGTCCCTTTGACAAACTTGATAAGTCTCCACGTACAGCTGGGCATCTCGCATCATCGTGGGCCACCAGAACTGCTGCAACAGATTGGCTGCGGTCTTCTTATACCCAAAATGGCCGGTGGCATCATGGCACTCACCTAAAAATAAACTACGAAAAGACTCGCTATTTGGGACACATAATTGTTTATTCCCTCCCTTCTCAAGGAAGAGCAAGCCATTGACCAACTCAAACTCGGCAGAAATCGTATTGTCCTTCGCCTCAAGTCTGCGTATGATCTCAGACATGAACTGGTCCTCACGATAGGCTTCCACCAAAGATAGAGTAACACTGTTCGTCTGATCGAACTCAGTAATCAGCGCACCTGAGAAATCAGGTCTACGCGACAAGGCATCAACAACCTTGTTGTACTCCCCTTCCAGATATTGAGGGTCAAAGTCATATTGCTCAATGACTTCGATCCAACACTTGAGGGCGTCAGAGAGTGCAGGCTGAGTTCTCATCCATCTCAGGGTCTGGTGATCAGTCATGAGGATGAAGAACCTCCCAAGGAGGTAGTGTCTCCAATGGGTCAGAGCTTTGTAAACCGCATAGAGTTCCTTCTCATAGGTGGACTTGGCCAATTTTTGAGACGACATTTTCTCGGACATGTACTCTACAGGCCTCAACCTTGGTCCCTCCTGCTGTGCGAGCATGGCGCCAATGCCATATTGGCTGGCATCCGTGGTGACTATAAACGACTTATGAGGATCAGGAAGTTTCAAGACCTCGTAGTGCGTCAACGCGTGCTTCAGATGTCTGAAAGCAGCCCCGCACTCATGTGTTCACTCCCATGAGGTGTCAAGGCGTGTTAGATCAGTCAAAGGAGCGGCCACTATACTATAGTTTTTAACAAAGTTCTTATAATAGTCTGTCATTCCTAAGAAAGATCTCATCTCAGTCACAGACTGAGGACGTGGCCAATCACGGATGCTGGCCACCTTCTCGTCATCGGGCTTCAACCCTTCCGTGAAGATTTCATACCCTTCCGTGGAGATCTCATGACCCAAGTACAGGAGACGGGTGTGGCCAAACTCGCACTTCTCACCGTTGATCTTGAACTTGTGCTGTTGCAGGAGACTGAGGACTTTGTCCAAATGTGCAACGTGCTCCTCGACAGTCTTACTCTAAGAATGACTCTTCGTGGATCCACGACCTTCGAGGCTGGCCGGGAAGAGGTGCGGCATGCCGCATAGACCCATTTATGGGGGTGGTGCAATGCTTTTGAGGTGGAGCCAACGCCTACTTCTGATATCTGGGCCTCGTGTTCAGACGAGGAGAATGAGTACTACAGACTACTTCCTAGCGATCGGGGTTCGGAAAGGTCAGCGAAAATATTTTACCTTCTTCAAATCTTTTGTGGACGGATGATTGACTTAGGATACCTAAGGTTGGCCGCAAGTAGGAGCCGACTAGATTAATGTGGATTGGAGTCAAAAAAAGTTCTGATCCCAGTG